GCGAATGACAAATTCTTTTAGGTGCCCTGCCCGTATGAGACGCTCGATCTCGTCTTTCAAGTGCCTACAATCTTCTGTATTATGTCCGTAATCCCTATGAAATCTGCAGTACTTATTCGACCTAGGTTTGGTCGGTCCCTCGAACCTGGTCGCTGGCCATGTGACTTCCTTGCTTTCCAACTTCTCCTCTATGGCCGCCAAGACTTCGCCCATCTGGGCGTTGATAGGAGTAAAATGATTATATCTCTGACTGTTTGGTAGCCGAGGTCGCCCTTGCCAGCGATCTTCTCGCCTCCCTCGGAACGAATTTTGCCCATCCCTCCTGGGCGACGACCTCTTAAAAGATCCTCCTCTTGGGGAATTTTTCCTAGGTGTTCCCCACCTGGGCGAGCTCGTCTTTTCCTTCTTCTGCTCAGGTTTCACAACGTCCTCGAGCTTGGCAAACTCTGCTTCCGTTTCTTCCAAGTTAATGTACTTCTTGCATCTTTTGAGCACCTCATCGTAAGTTCGAGCAGGCGTCTTTGCCAGCGACGTTCGACATGGTCCTGGCCGCAGACTTCTAATCAATCCTCCTGCTTTCACATCGTCACCCGCTGTGGGCACCTCCAGACACACCTGATTATATCGAGAAACATATTTCCGTAAGGATTCTTTCTCGCCTTGTCTCATTGCCATCAGTGTAAGGTATGTCTTCTCCTGGACGACCGCACTTGAGTATTGATTAGTAAGTTGTCCTACGAAATCTTCAAAGTCTCTGATCGAACCTGGAGCCAATTGGTGGAACCAGTCAAGCGCACCTCCTCGTAAGGTCGACAAGAAGGCCCTGCAGCTGACCGGATCTGAGTATCCATGTAAGACGGACATGTTTTCGAATGCTCTCACGTGCCTCGACGGGTCGCTCGATCCATCGAAAATCAGGTTTATCTCCCGGAAACTCGCAGGTAACGGCGCAACTAAGATTTCCCTCGAGAATGGGTGTCCTCGAGCACGTCTTTCCGGCCTCCCTTCCACCTTCTCCTGCAATTGCCTAAGCTGTTCGGCCATCCTCTCCATCGCTCTGTCTCTGTACTCTCTTCCTCCGCCGTAACTCGACACGTCCTCCTCTTGTGTTCCCTGCACCGTTGTCGGCGCAGTGGCAGCCTGGGATGTCTGGTGAGTGGCTTGTTGCACAGCCTGTGCTGCCGCATCGGCCACCATCCTCTGCACTTCTTCTCTCGTCATGGCCACAACTTGTTGAGCAGGGGGTTGGGGTGCTCCTCCTGTTGGCGGCATCATGGTCTGTGTCGTTGGCCCTACCTGCTGCGTTACGACTGGACCTGCTTGCAACGGAGGGAGGACTGCCGCTGATACCACCTCACGAGTTTCATGCTCTTTGCTCGTGCCTGCTCCTCCACCCAAGATCGCTGTACCCTGGGGCATCGGCGTCGGGGTCACCGGTGTTTGTGAGGGTCCGGAGAACCTGGGTGGAGGTCCTGCTCCCATCAGTCTCGTCGTCGTCCATGCTTCATCAAATGAAGACTGCAAATTCATTCGAGGAACTCCGTCCGCCATAGCTGAACTCAGAACACAACTTTTCGAACAAGAGTCCCACAGACGGCGCCAATAATACAAGTCTCGCACCCTGACCAACTGGAGTTCGCCTTAAGCTTGCTTTCCTCGCCGGTTGAACGCGGAACCTGCACGAAACTCCCACACTGGAGGTGTTTTCCGGTGAAGAGCCTCCAACGCTCAAGTCAGATCTTGAGAGATAATATGAGTGTATGAAAAAGTACCAGAATGTCTTAGATCTTACTGAAAATGAGGATTTTCGCCCTTATTTATAAGGGCGAGTTACCTGAGCTGCACGCGCGAGCAAGGCGAGTCCGGCCAACTGTCTCCTGCTCGTCCGTACGGCTGCGCGCCTCCACTATCTTTAGTGTCAGGATCCGCGTCCTCTTTGTCAGAGAATGTCAGAGTTCGTTGCAGCTACGTAGCCACTCATAGTGCGCCACGCGTCCTTCCTTTCACGTGCTGAAGATTCCCTCATGCCCCTCTGATATTCGACCAATCTTTTGCGACCACGCCTTATTCGACCATTCGTGGTGGTCCGCATCTGTCGACCACCTTTAATCTCTTCTGTCTGCTCTCTGCTCCTTTGTTGCTAGTGTTTGGTCCATCTTGACCAGGTTACTCGATCTCTCCTAACTCAGGTAATCCAGCGGTCCGACCTATTTTCTCCGGTCGTCCGGGCGAACCGGTCTAGTATACAATATCCTATATCAAATTTCTACACTTTTTTCTAATCAATTATTTGTTCTTAACATGAAAAAGTTTCATATGTTTGTAGAAAATGTACAGGTTACCATTTCATTAGATGTCTTTATTACATGTTGTTGTTTCACGTGTAACTAAATAGAAGGGGGTTGAATATATTAGTTTGTGAGAATAACGAGTTGACCAATAATCAAACTCATAATTTTGTGTACAAGGAGGTCTTTAATAATATATGATTCTATCTTTGTCGAATACTATCTTATTGTACAATTTTCCTATGTATTATAAATCTCTTTATTTAATATTACATTTTATAATATAATATTTTCCAAATAAATATATCCTGTGCATCGCACGGGCACGTACTATATATACTCCAAACATTTTTCTTTATTCATGTATATAATAATAATCCGCTAAATAGCCCTAAAATTGTGCACCTCGTGCATGGCACAGGCTCTGCACTAGTTTTCTTTTATTTTCCTTTTCCATTTCTTTCATTTTCCTTCCTTTTCTCCAGTCACTTTATTTCTTTTTTTATTTTAATGAAACGAAACATATATAAATAAAACTCAAAGAGTATGTACAGAGGATGTGTACTCAGACACCAAACTTAACTGTCATAATGCAGCTAAGTGATAAAGGGGACAAACCCCACAAAAACTAAACAAACAGAAAGGAAGAGAAAAAAAGAAAAAAAAAAAAGGGAAACTATACAAAAGACTAAACCAAGTCAAAATACCAAGAAACAACTAAAGACAACAGCAAAGCCAACTAAACTAAAGACTAAATGCAACTGCAATGATGAGGATCAGGTAGGTGCTATGCCACTGAACCCAAGAGTTCCTAGCTTAGCATCCACAAATGGCAGATACATCAAAATCAAAACCAGAAGACAACAGATTAATCAGATTGGAGGCCAGACTCCTCAAACTCCACCCATTCACTCCTAGCTTGAGTGGCTATCTCCATATCAAATTTCCAAATGTTGTTAAATACCCATAGATTTCTGCATTTCCACAGTCTCCACTGGATGAATGGGGAGAAATGGATTCTGTCATTGAAGTTATTGGCTCTTTTCATTGTACAAATTTCAGTCCACCACATTCTGAAGTTTAGTGATGTGTCCTGGAAACTGGTCCATTCTGCTCCTGCAAACTTCCAAACGTTAACAGCTCGTGGACATAAGAAGAAAATATGCTCAAGAAATTCTTCAGCTGCTCCACAAATTTTACTGATAGGATCGAGGGGGATTCTTTTGAGAATGAGCTGGTCCTGAGTTCCAATGAAGTTAAACCAACATCTCCACAGGAAGGTTTTAATTTTGTTCTTGATTTTCAGGGACCATGTAGTTTTCCACACCTTAGATTCTATGAGATTGGACTTGCTAGATTCTGGATCTGTTTGTGGAGCTTGATTTGCTGCAAGAATAAGAGAGTAAGCTGATTTGGCACTGAAAACTCCAAGTTTGAGAGGTTTCCAAATTAGCAAGTCTTTTTGACCTCTTCTTAACAGTGGAGTCTTCAAAATGAGGGAGGCATCATCTGGACTGAAAGATTGTACAATCAACTCCCTGTCCCAGTTAGAACCATTAGCACAAAGGAGATCACTCAGTTTGTTCATTCTCAGCTTGTTAGAAGTAAAGCCTGTAGAGGGAACCAAGTCTTACTTTCCAGCTAGCTAGGGGTCAGAACAGATAGATGTGGTGTTGCCATCTCCAATTTTCTGCATGACACCCTTTTTCAGAAGGCTCCTATTCTTAGGCCATGTGCTCCATAACCAAGAGTCAGAAGATTTGTGTTTGGCCTCCCAAAGAGAGCAGTTATGATAATATTTGCCTTTGATAACTTTGGCCATCAGCAGGTTAGGATACTTAAGGAGTCTCCACACCTGCATAGAGATTAGGGCCTGATTGAAAAAAACAAGGCATTTGAAACCTAGTCCTCCTTTGTTCTTTGGCCTTGAGAGTTTTTGCCAAGAGGCCCAGTGAATCTTGCTTCCACCATCTTCCCTTGATCCCCACCAGAAATCAGACTGGAGCCTGCAAATTTCTTTGCAAATACACAGTGGTAATTTGGAACAAGACATGGTAAAGGTAGGGAGAGCTCCTATGGCACTTTTCAATAAAACTTCTTTTTCTGCCTCGCTTAGAAAGATGTTTTTCCAGGACTTGAGTTTGCAGGTCACATTATCAATAACATATTTAAAAGTGTCTTTCTTGGAGGAGCCCAGACCTAGGGGAAGGCCTAGGTACCTGGAAGATTTAACAGTGGAGATGCAATTGAGAACTAAGTTAATGTCAGCATAACATAAGGGGGTGTTCTAAGAGAAAAAGACCGAGGATTTAGAGAGGTTAACCTTTTGTCCAGATTCAAGGCCATAAAGATTCAAGATATTTGAAATAAGGACAACATGGTGATGGTCAGCTTTGCAGAAGATGATGGAATCATCTACAAAGAACAGGTGGGTTATAGAAGGGGAGTTTTTGTTGATTTTCATGCCTTGGAAGGACTGAGTCAGAGTGGTTTGTTTGATGAGGTTTGAGAAGGCTTCAGAAATGATAATGAAAAGATATGGAGAAAGGGGATCGCCTTGTCTCAAACCCCTAGAAGGCTTTAGATAACCTAGAGGCTGGCTATGAATGTTAAAGGAGAAGGAGGTGGTTGTGACATAAGTCATGATCCAAGAGGTGAATTGGGGGCAGAAACCCATTTTGTCACAGATGGCAGCAAGAAAAAGCCATTCTACACTATCAAAAGCCTTCATCATGTCAAGTTTGAGGGCCATGAAGTGAGAATTACCTGTTCTTATACTATTAAGGTGGTGGATGCATTCATTGGCAATGACAAAGTTATCAAGGAGTTGTCTGCCAGGGACAAATGCAGCCTGGTTTGGACTAATGCAAGAATGGAGGGTAGATTTAAGCCTATTTGCAAGGATGTTAGAAATGAGCTTGTAAGTGATTGTGCAAAGTCTAATGGGTCTGTAATCATTAAGGAATTTGGAATTTTTCTTTTTAGGGATAAGGGTGATAGCAGTTTTATTAGTAGAAGTGGGGAGTTTACCAGTTGAGAAAAAAGATTGAACAGCTTTGAAAAGAGAGGGGTGAATAGTATTCCAAGAGGTTTGAAAGAAAGAGGGGGACATACCATCTATGGCGGGCGCCTTAAGAGGATGCATCTCCCACAAAGCTTGTTTGAGCTCCTCCACTGCCACAGGCTTTACAAGTTGAGAGTTTATGTCATCAGTTATAGAGCAAGAAATACCCTCCAGGTTGTACCAATCAGGAACAGGAATAGGCATTGTTGACTTGTAAAGGTTGGCAAACTGAGTGTGAATTACCAGAAGAATTTCCTCCTGGGAGGAACAACATTGACCTGAAGCAGTCATCAATCCTTCCAGGCTGTTAGTTTTTCTTCTTTAGGTAACAGAGGCTTGAAAGTATTTAGAGTTTTTGTGTCCAGCTTTAAGCCATTTGATTCGGGCCTTTTGAGCCCAAAATTTATCTTCCTCAGCATAGGCTAGATGCAAGATCCTTTTAGTATCATTCCAGTCATTCAAGTTCTTAGAAGACCCTTGTTGATTGAGAGTTTCTAGTTTTGCCTTCAGAGAGTAAAGGTTTTTCCTGGAGTTGGGCAACAATGAGGATTTCCACTTCAGAAGGGCTACTCGGACATTTTTTTTCTTGGATTTCATACAGGTCCCCACTGATTCCTATGTCTTGGTTCCAGGCCTTTTCCACAGTAGAGGTGATACCTTCCTCTTTGACCCATCTTGTGTCAAAGTAGAACCTTTTCCTGATTGTGTGCTTATTATCAGTGGTGCTCAGCAAAACCAAGGAGTGATCAGAGGATAGAAGGGGGATGTTCTTGACCCTGAATTGAGGAAAGGAGATGATCCAGTCTGGAGATGTGAAAAATCTGTCCAACCTTTCCTCAATGAAGCTTCCCTCGTGTCTGCAGTTATTCAGGTGAAAGGATAGCCTGTGAAGGGAACTTCAGCCATGCACATAGATTGCATAAATGATTTGAAGGGAAAGAAGCTGCATTCAGTTCTAAGACTACCTCCTCTCTTATCAATGCTTGAGGTGATGTCATTGAAGTCACCACCCAGAATCCACATATTGCCCTAATTGGGCATACATCTTTGAAGGAAGTCCCATTGAATTTGTCTGAAGTTGGGATCAGTGCTAGCTTGTATGAAAATGGCCCATAGAGGGGTAGGGTTGTTGGCAAAGGAGAAACAAATTTGCAAGGAGAAGTGGTTGTGAATAATATTATGGATGGAGATTTTATCAGACCAGAACAAAAGAAGGCCACCTTTGGAGTCAATGGGGGCTTCAAAAAACCAGTTGTCAGCAAACTTAAGCTTAGAACAGACAGAAAGAACAAATTTTTTGTTTTTTTTTTTACTTCAGAAAGAAAGAAAAAATCAGGGAGGTGAGTCCTTAGGGACTCTTTGAACTGGGAGATTGTAGAGGGCCCTCCAAGACCTCTACAATTCCACACCGCAACCTTCATTTGGAAACTTGAGCCCAGTTATGGCTGGATGCCTCCACCAATTTGGACTGAGATGGGTTGATATCTGGATGTGAGGGAATAGGCTGAGAAGGTTTAGCTTTTTTGGGGTTGGGGGTTTGAGTGTCTTTATGGTCAGTAATAATATCTAAGGGTCTTTTGAGGATAGATTTGTCATGGCCAGCAAGATTTAGGACATGCACTTCCACAAGATCATCTTGTGAAGATGTTTTTCTCATGATTTTACAGGTTCTCAGAGACTTTTTTCCCTGGTTTGGATGGGGGGGGGTTGTTTACTGGAGGCACCAAGGTTTGGGTTAGGGGCAGGAGTTGCTGAGAGGATTTGAACATCAAAGAGAGAGTTGTCTTTTGGAGGAGCTGGGTTTAATGTGGGGGGAGTTTCAACAGCCATGGGTTGGGTATCATCAGGGGAAGGCTTATTATGGACAGGTTCAATGTTTGAGGTTTGAGAGTTGGACACAGATTTTCTCTCATTAGGCATATGAGATGGGGGGTGGGAGGTTTATTTGATTCTTCCTTTTCACTGGGTTTATCATAGCTACTGGATTTATGGGAGACTCTATCTGTCAGGTTTCTGGCCCGGGTGATTGAAGAAAAGGCCACAGAGGCCTTCAGCCATTCACCAAATTGGCCCGATTTTAGCACATTCCCCTTAATATCCTCCTTTTTCCGAGAGCATTCACGATCACCTAGAAAGACTTCTAGACATCTTCTATCTATATTACATAATTTATATATTTTTTTCCACCAACTAATTATTATGTGACACGTGTCAATATATTCTACAATTGACATTCACCATTGGAGACAAACTATTTTTATTTCTTTTCTCCATAACCTACATATAAAAATAGACATTGTGCCATTGGAGAAACTATAAATACCATTAATTGAAATCATCAAACTGAGATAATCCCGTCACTTTATTTCTTCCTCCTTTCTTGAAATTCCCCAATTTCATAGTCGCTCTCTTCCAATCTCTCTTAATTCTTTCTTCTTCTTCGCAGAAATCAAATTCACAAAATCACGACACTAGAAATCTTTTAAAATTTCATTCTCTTCTTCAATTCGCAGAAACCCAAAATCCTCACAACAATCAATTTCCAATTTCAACTTCTTCTGCTTGCACCCACGTACGGCTTTCGGCAATGGGGTCGGTTTGTAAAGGTCGGAGTCCATCGGAGGTCGAGGTCTGTCGAAGGTCGCCGGTTAAATATCAAAGGTGAGGTCGCCGATTGCAGAAGAAATCAGCGTACGGTGATGGCGGGCTGAAGGTCCGATCGCATTGCGAGAACGGACGGTGGAGGCGGAAACAAGCGGTCGACTTCATGGCTGTACGGTCCCGTCGACGTTGAACTCGGGGGGAATGAAATCAGCGTACGGTGATGGCGGGCTGAAGGTCCGATCGCATTGCGAGAACGGACGGTGGAGGCGGAAACAAGCGGTCGACTTCATGGCTGTACGGTCCCGTCGACGTTGAAATCGGGGGGAATGGCGACGATTAAGGATGGCCGCGGCTGGTCAAGAAAGGACGGGACGCGGAGAGTGACGCAGGGGTTGACCGTCGAGGATTGCGGGTGGTGGTGGTTCACGGCGCCGCTGCTGCGGTGGTCGGGCATCTGGTTGTTGGTCTCGATGTTCGCTGACTCGTCGGGTGGAAAGCGGGTGGTAAGGTCTGCGGCCGACTAAGCAAATTAACGCGTGGCCGTTATAGGGACCCCGAACAGCCGCAGGGCACGGCAGATGGTGACAGTTCGCGATGACGAAGGGTGACCGGTCGGATAACGCGTGAATGGGGAGGGAGGTTCGCAGCTGAGGGGTTTCGAGGGAGTTTTTGATTCTTTGGCTGTTTCGGGATGATGGCTCGATTCGTATGATCAAGAGGCTTGAATCTGCCCATATTTGATGCAATTGTACCACGTACAAAACGAATGTAAAAGTAGAAAACTCTCAAGTTCGCTGAATCTGTTTGTTTGGGATTTGAGGGTGATGATCGAGAGGTGTGGGGGAGGTTTTTCTGTGTTCTTTCCTATTACTGCCGCATGGAATATAGATGTAGGAGATTAGCGTGGATGAACCAGATAA